GATAGACACAGACATTCTCTTATAGATTGGCCCATATTTGGACGAGTTTGGGAGCTGCTGCTTATTAGCCCATAAGAGGTACGTGCTATTTTATATCTGCCATATAAATAGGAGCTGCCTTGTATGAGCCAATAGGCTTTCTGTAGTTCCTTCATTATGCTTAAATGATGATTGGTTGACCTGGTATACTTCATAATAACCATATAGAGTTGGGAATACCACAGGAGCATAATTGTCATACATATCATGTAATTATAATGGCATTTTATGCCAAGATGATTACTGCAGTGGCACAGTGACATTTGTGATGATAATTGCATTTACATATTTGTAGTAAGCAATCATGACACGATGGCAGGAATTTTTCATCTGGCAAGTTAACACTTTGGCGTACCCCGCGCGCCACCCCTCAACTGTGCGATATGGGACCCAGGGTGTCACAGGAGCGCGCGTAAATTCTGAAAAGTGTATACTCTCTTCAACTTTGTCACCTTAATTCTCGTCCTACGAGATTAAATTTTGTGTCATTGTGTTCGCAATAGAATTCTCTACAACACTAAATGCACATAAACTCCAAAAGCCCGGCTAATTACCCACAGCAAACAGAGAAATTGCGAACGAGTTACCCAGGAGCGCGCAAACGCGATAAAATGTTTTCACTATTTTCACTCTGGTCACCTCAACTTTTGTCCTAGGTCTTTCATTTTGGTCTCGATAGTTCACAATAGAATTCTCTAGAGGAACATTAGCATATAAAATAAAAAACCTGGTCACGCTCCAACCGCCGACGAGTTGAAGACGGGCCACGCGTTAGCCGCAAGTGAGCACTCAGACGCCTTCCAGCTACACTCCCAATTCCCGCCCTTTTGAAGCCTTTCTTTCGCAATTTTCTTCCTGGAAGGGCCTTGTTCATGATCACTATCCATCGTGGAGTAAGCGTAGACAGTTTCTAAAGCCGCAGTAAGAAATATAGCCACGGAAAATAGCCGAAATGTTCACACGTTTGAGATGCGAGGGGAGGCGACATTGGTCACAACAGTGGAGCGAAAACAATGGGCCCACGGCATGTGCCAAGCCACCTGAGGGCCACGAGGCTCAACAAAGAAAATGGGAAGACATCGGCACGCATTTTAAAACCAGTCCCCCCAAAATCTGATAAAAACCTGATTTTTGGCGATTATTTTAAGTGGATGACGCAATGCTGCGTCATCCATGGCATTACCGACAGTAAACGGATGACGCAATGCTGCGTCATGCCCGGGCGAAAGTGTTAAACTCCACTTCATCCATATAGACATATTATATCCATATTGGCATCATCTATGTAAAATCTAGACAATAATAGTTTGTCAACGCTAACCGTATTACCCAATTCATCAAGATATGATGATATCCGCACTTTAAGGATAAAGCTGTGCTTAGTTACCGAAATGCTGTAGCCGCTTAAAAAAATTAATTCATTTCTGTTCTTAAATGAGCATAAGAATTACATATGATGTGAGAGGCTACATTGTATATGCTCTTCATCACATCATATAATGGAGTTTTTAGTGAGGGCTTGGAAAATCAGTTTTAGTATAGGGTAAAAATGTTCTTGACAAAAAATTAAAAAATAAATATTATTTTTCTCGCAGAATAATACTGTACTGTATTTAGTGAGTGGTTCCCTTTGATGATAGAAACAATGTACTGTAGTGTTCTTTCTTAGTTTTTTATGATGAAATCAAATCACACATTTGTCTGTGCCAAACTAAGTGACTAAAGATTCTTTTGCACCATTTTACTCCTTGCAGGCTCCAGATAGAAGTTCGGGATGCTGCACATTGGACCGCTCTCCACCATGCTGCTTTTGAGGGTCGTCTTCAAGCTGTCACTCTCCTCCTGCAGGCTGGTGCTGATGTCAATACTGCTGATCCTCATGTAAGAAGCTTCTTAATTTGCATGATTTTCATGTGCACTTAAATTGTTCAGGAAACAATTAGATAAATTATTGCAAGAAGTGCCAGGCTATCCTGGTTGTAAAGGACATGTGGGCCTGCAGGCTGCTTCAAGCAACAGCCTTTGGGATCAAGTTATCACAAGACAAGCCTGGGCACAGCATGGGCTTTGGAAGTACCGGGGTACCTCAGTTTACGAATTTAATCCGTTCCTAGAGACGGTTCGTAACCTGAAAATTTGTAAACCGAAGCGAATTTCCCCATAAGAAATAATAGGAAATGAATTAAGTCGTTCCTGACTCCCCCAAAAATTTACTTTATTTTTATACCTAATTCACCCAAATCTTAACTACAAAAGTATGTACAAGTTATTACTTACTTTTACTGATGACTCCTGTTGGCATGTGGAAGATGGTGAGGATGAGGGAGGAGGAGAGGTGTTACTGCTTGGAAGGGGAGTCCCCTTCCATTATAACATCAGGCAGTGAAGACTTCCTCTCTGGCATGTTTTGCTACATACCACTAGGTCCTGGTTGTGGCTCGCTGCATGATTTTCTTATTGTTTTTCTTGAAGATTGTTTTCCCTTCTTGGTAATCTTGTCTGTAGTGAGACGTCACATTGTCATTAATAATAAGATCAATGCAACGGCCTGCTAAAGCTTTATCTGGGAGATTCTTTTCAGCAAAACATTGCAGTTCTTCCCACACTGCACACATTTTCTTAATTAATGAGGAAGGGACATCCTCTACTGCCTCCTCCTCCTCCCCTGAAGATTTGTTTTACTGCCTAGTTCAACAACACGTGTACCATTGTCACGTTTATGAATACCTGGTTGATACCTGGTTGATGGGGTTCTGGGAGTTCTTCTACTCCCCATGCCCGGCCCGAGGCCAGGCTTGACTTGTGAGAGTTTGGTCCACTAGGCTGTTGCTTGGAGCGGCCCGCAGGCCCACATACCCACCACAGCCCTGTTGGTCCGGCACTCCTTGGAGGAATAAATCTAGTTTCCTCTTGAAAATGTCCACGGTTGTTCCGGCAATATTTCTTATGCTTGCTGGCAGGACGTTGAACAACCGCGGACCTCTGATGTTTATACAGTGTTCTCTGATTGTGCCTATGGCACCTCTGCTCTTCACTGGTTCTATTCTACATTTTCTTCCATATCGTTCACTCCAGTACGTTGTTATTTTACTGTGTAGATTTGGTACTTGGCCCTCCAGTATCTTCCAGGTGTATATTATTTGATATCTCTCTCGTCTTCTTTCTAGCGAGTACATTTGGAGGGCTTTGAGATGATCCCAATAATTTAGGTGCTTTATTGCGTCTATGCGTGCCGTATATGTTCTCTGTATTCCCTCGATGTCAGCAATCTCTCCTGCTCTGAAGGGGGAAGTGAGTACTGAGCAGTACTCAAGACGGGACAACACAAGTGACTTGAAGAGTACAACCATTGTGATGGGATCCCTGGATTTGAAGATGTCATTAACACTTTCGCGCTCTCGGTGTTAAAAAAAAAATCATACCCTATGCGCTTTCGGCGGTTCGCGCCTATGCGGTAAGACCGAAAAAGTGTATACTCTTTTGACTGTCCTGACAATAATTGAAGGCGCACGTATTTAAATTTGGTATCACTGTGTTCGCAATAAAATTGTCTATAAGAACATCCCTATAAAATGCCACCAAAGCATAAGGACTATCAACAACAAATAAAAAACTATTCAGATCACTTGCCGAGAGCGCCAAACAGCAACAAAATGTTTCCACTCTCTTAATGGTTGCGAAGCCTACAGTTGTCCTACATCGCTAATTGTGGTATCATTGGAATCGCAATAAAATTCTCTACACGGACATATGCATATAAATATAGATTCAATGTCGTAGCCCACCCAAAACAGTGTGGGAAGTGGCCGAAGTGTTACCCGCGGCGGCATATCGGTGAAACTCGCTTTGAAAAGTGTATATTCAATTCACTGTCCTGACATTATTTGTCGATGTATGTATTTCATTTTTGTACCAATGTGTTCGCAATAGAATGTTCTATATGAACATAAGTATTAAAGGTCACATAAGGATGCGTTCGACCGGCAACATATATAAAAACTACGTCGATTATACTCGTCGTGTCAATAATACAATTGTTTTACCACGATGATTCACTGCCACGCCGTTCTCTTTAATATGATGTTCGGCTATTAGAAAAAACGTAAATTTCATGGCAAACATTTGTAAACTATTCCCAAGTTGATCGGATAATAAATGGATTTTATACAAATATTTTTTCTCGTGACGCCCGAGCGCCGCACGCCAGCGTAATAAGTAGGAATATTGGTGACGACACTGTTGTCACCAATTAGCGAAAGTGTTAATAATAAGATCAATGCAACAGCCTGCTAAAGCTTTATGATCTTTTGTTTTTCCTCTATTGTCATTCTCACGTGTTTTCATGCCTTAAACCTTACCACTGGCTTTCTTGGAACCCATGGTGAGATATATAATAACAACTTTTATGTTCAAATAGGCAAAAAAAAAAAAAAAAAAAAGTAAATCCTTGCAAAGAATTCAGGCAGGATAGTCATTAGGCGGGAAGGACTGGGAAACAGAGGCGCAATCGCTGTGCCACCACGCGCTAGGTCGGCCATACGTGTATCTACAAACTCGTATCCCGAGGTAAAGTTCGTAAACCAATTAAAATTTTCTGAAGAAATGGGGCTCATAACCTGAAAAGTTCGGAAAGAGGGGTATTCGTAAACCAAGGTATCACTATAGAAGAATTTGAATGGCAAGCAGGCTCACATATCCACTAACCCAGTTGTCCGGAACCTCTTGCAGGAACGTATTTATTTCCTGAATGTGTCCACTTTTGTTCTGGCAATATTTCTTGTGTTTAGTGGTTGGACTTGGCAACTTTATTTAACATAGGTAAATGATTTTAATTAATTTTCTGGGTTTCCAGGGAGTAACAGCACTGCATGTGGCTGCATATCGTGATCACATGACAATAGTTCGCTTTCTGATGACAAGAGGAGCCAATCCAAAGATGATCGTCAAGTCCCCAACTTCTGGTGAGTGCTGCTACACTTGTCCGGACTTTCACCTGTGCCTTGATATGCCGTATTGCTATCCCATTATAAATAATGAATGAATGATGTTAAGTGAAAATCATTTTAATGTTAAGTTTATATTTAAATTGCAATAGTTGTGGGTAGGATCTAAATGACTTGAGAAAGGGCTTGATAATTACTTGCTTCTATTTCAAGCATTTCTTGCACTTTGTTTCAAATAGTGCTGGTAGATTTGATTTAGACACCCAATCCACAAATATGAAAAATAAAGGAAGTGACAACATTTTGTTCCATCCAGGACCGTTGTTAAGCCATCACTCCCTTTTTCAGATTTATGGATTGGGTGTCAAATTTTCAGCCACATTATTGTGACATTTTCGGCAAATATTTTTATTTTTCATCATGATAATGATGAGATTATCCACTCATTAGCAATTGAAAAAAGCATTTTTTGCTGAATTTTATAGCATAAATCGATGTTTGAAATTAACTAGTTGCCAGTACTCTAGAAGTAGAAATTTTTTAAAAGAATTAGTGCTGCTTTCATAACCATATGAAAAGGAAAAGCAGAGGAAGAAGGTTACAAAGTTTCAAGAGAGGGAATTGCTAGTGAAAATATAGCATTTATGTGTGTAAGATGTGTAAAATGTGTGTAAGATGGTAATTGAATGATAGAGTAGGAAGGTAATAAGGATAAGAAAGGATTTGAAGGTGTTTGTAGGGAAGGCATTAAGGATATGGTAGTACAAATATGTTTAGGTGTTTGTAGGGAAGGTGTCAAGGATAGGGGGAGTACAGACAGGCCTGTAAGGTGTTTGTAGGGAAGGTGTCAAGGATAGGGGGAGTACAGACAGGCCTGTAAGGTGTTTGTAGGGAAGGTGTCGAGGATAGGGGGAGTACAGACAGGCCTGTAAGGTGTTTGTAGGGAAGGTGTCAAGGATAGGGGGAGTACAGCCTGTAAGGTGTTTGTAGGGAAGGTGTCAAGGATAGGGGGAGTACAGACAGGCCTGTAAGGTGTTTGTAGGGAAGGTGTCAAGGATAGGGGGAGTACAGACAGGCCTGTAAGGTGTTTGTAGGGAAGGTGTCAAGGATAGGGGAAGTATGGAAAAGTCTAGAAGATGTTTGTAAGGAAGGTACTGTATTAAGAATAGGGTAGCATAGACAGGTCTGGAAGCTGTGTGTGGGGAGGTATTAAGGACAGGGTAGTACAGACGGGTTTGGGAGGGAGGTATTAAGGACTGGGTAATACAGACAGGTGTGGAAGGTGTGGGGGGAAGGTATTAAGGAGTGGGTAATACAGACAGGTTTGGAAGGTGTGTGGAGGGATGGTATTAAGGACTGGGTAGTACAGACAGGTCTGGAAGGTGTTGGGGGGGGGAAGGTATTAAAGACTGGGTAGTATAGACAGGTGTGGAAGGTGTGTGGATGGAAAATATTAAGGACTGGGTAGTACAGACAGGTGTGGAAGGTGTGTGGACAAGATATTAAGGACTGGGTAGTACAGACAGGTGTGGAAGGTGTGGGGGGGAAGGTATTAGGGATAGGGTAGTATAGACAGGTGTGGAAGGTGTGTGGACTAGATATTAAGGACTGGGTAGTACAGACAGGTCAGGAATGAGAATATGTAATAAATATCTTGGAGGGAATTTCCCAGGGTGAATGTGGCACTGGAGATGTTAAAAAGTAAAGTTATTGTAGAGATGATGAAATGTGAAGATGGCCAGCCCCCAGGTTAGTCTTACACGTAGGTTTAACATGGTTTATGAAGGCCCCTCAATGGAAGATGAACACTTTTTCAATTTTAATGCTTCTTTGGCTTAACTAAAACTAATTTTATAAAGATGATATTTACTGGCAAAACTGTTGTTGTAATGAAAATGTTAAACAGTTTTTTTGAAAGATTTTGGAGTTGCTATTTGAAGATTGTGTAAAAAATGGGATAGATTTTAGAATGAACAAAATTGCAAGTGGCTTAGGCCATCCCCGAGTAATGGCTTAAATCCAGGTGGATCAAAACGCCGACGGCCGAGTCAAGTGTCAATGGAGGAGACGATGCACATCTTAGGGCCAGGGTTAACCTCGCGTACGCCTTCCTTGGATACCCTGTTTCGTCGTCGTCACCAGTGGAGCCCTTCTCAGGCACGCGGCAGCTGGTCAGATCTGATATCTGGAAAAGATGACAGCACAGTGAAGGGAAATAAATGGAGAGAAAATCCTCGCTCAAGCCTTAATATAGCAGTAACTTCGTCAAACGAGTGGCCAGCTGGTGACCTGATAGAATTGGGTAGCTCCAAATCACTTCCACCAAATTATCCATTGACACGATCAAGAAAATCCTCCCCATGTCTTACTCAAGGAAAGTGTTAGTGTGTGAGGCCATAGTTATAGAGAAATAACATTAACACTATTTTGCTGTATTTTTTGCACTTGAATATAATTTTATAGTTGGCACTGACTATTAACCTAACTAACAAAATAATGCTTCTTGCAACAAGGAAAATTTTTCTGAATTTTTCACTGCAAGGAAAAAATACTTAACATTTACCTTTCAATTGTACGGCACAACCAGGGATGTTCTCGCTAATTATCTTGAACTACAAGACGTGGTCAAGGATGTTTTAAAGTACCGCACAAAAAGTTTTAAAGTGTTTTAAAGAAAAGGTGTTTTACAGTTTTTTTAGTGAGTATAATTGGACAGATTTGTTGCTAGGCAAGGAAGTAAATGATATTTACTTATCTAAATGATAAGTAAATGATATATCAAGTTTTGTGTAATATATGATAAAGGCACAAAAAAAATTTGTACCAAAACAGAGATGAAGAACTAGGAAACAGGATTGGTTCAACAGAAATCGTAAGAGGGCCAGAGACCAAAAGACACAAAAATGGAATCAATATAGGAAAAGGCCAAACCCCCAAACATACCAGCGATACAAAGATGCGAGAAACAACTACACTGCAGTGAGGAGAGAGGCAGAAGGAAATTTTGAAAAAGGGATTGCGGACAAATGTAAAACAGAACCAGGTCTATTCTATAAATTCATAAACAGCAAATTGCAGGTAAAGAATAATATTCAGAGGATGAAAATGGGAAATAGATTCACGGAAAATGAAAAGGAAATGTGAAACATTAAACGATAAGTTCCAAAGTGTGTTTGTACAAAATGAAATCTTCAGGGAACCAGACACAATAAGAATTCCAGAGAACAACATAGAGCACATAGAGGTGTCTAGAGACGAAGTGGAAAGAATTCTCAAGGAGCTAAGTAAGAACAAAGCAGTTGGTCCAGATGGAGTTTCACCATAGGTTCTGAGAGAATGTGCACCTGAGCTCAGCATTCCACTTCAGCTGATTTTTCAGGCATCCCTGTTTACAGGAGTTGTAGCTGATGTGTGGAAAAAGGCTAACATAGTTCCAATCTACAAAAGTGGCAGCAGAGAAAACCCCCTTAATTATAGACCTGTATCACTGACAAGTGTCATAGTCAAAATATTGGAAAATATAATTAAAAGTAAATGGGGAAAACACCTGGAGAATAACGATATAATATCAGACAGACAGTATGGTTTTCGATCTGGAAGATCCTGTGTAACGAACTTACTCAGTTTCTATGATCAAGCCACAGAGATTTTACAGGAAAGAGATGGTTGGGTTGACTGCATCTACCTGGACCTAAAAAAGGCTTTTGACAGAGTTCCACATAAGAGGTTGTTCTGGAAACTGGAACATATTGGAGAGTGACAAGTAAGCTTCTGCCTGGTTGATATTTGCTCCCTCCCCTGTGTGCTATGTCTGCAACTTTAAGTGCATCTGGTATCTCCCCCTGTCCAAGCTCTTCCTCCACACTATACTGAGTGCCTGTGCTACTGGCACTTTGCATTTCTTTATAAATATCGAATTCCATGAATCTGGACCCGGAGCAGAGTGCAGGGGCATGTTTTCAATTTCTCTTTCAAAGTCTTGTATGCTCGTGTTGATATCAGTCATATTTACAGGGGTTTGGATATCCCGCATAAAGAAATTGTCTGGATCTTCCACTTTCATGTTGTTTATTGGAGTGCTAAACATGTCCTCATACTGCTTTTTTAGGATTTCACTAATTTCTTTGTCATCCTCTGTGTATGAACCTTCACTTGTACGAATAGGTCCAATACTGGCAGTGGTTTTTCCTTTTGATTTCACATATGTGAAGAAGTATTTTGGATCTTGCTTTATTTCCTGAATTGCTTTCTATTCTAACTGCCTTCTTCAGTTTGATACAAGAGTGTCAATTTCTGCTCGATTTCTTCAATCTCACTATTTAAATTATTCCTTCTTATTCTTTTAAATTATTCCTTCTAACATGGATGAAAAATGTCCTGACTGACAGAAAAATGAGGGCCGTAATCAGAGGCAATGTATCGGATTGGAGGAATGTCGCGAGTGGATTACCACAGGGTTCAGTTCTTGCACCGGTAATGTTCATTGTCTACATAAACGATCTACCAGTTGGAATACAGAATTATATGAACATGTTTGCTGATGATGCTTAGATAATAGGGAAGATAAGAAACCTAGATGATTGTCATGCTCTTCAAGAAGACATAAACAAAATAAGTATATGGAGCACCACTTGGCAAATGAAATTTAATGTGAATAAAGGCCATGTTATGGAATGTGGAATTGGAGAACATAGACCCCACACAACCTATAAATTATGTGAGAAATCTTTAAAGACTGACAAAGAAAGAGATCTAGAGGTGGTTCTAGATAGAAAACTGTCACCTGAGGGCCACATTAAGAACACTGTGCGAGGAACCTATGCTACAGTTTCTAACTTCAGAATTGCTTTTAAATACATGGATTTAGAAATACTAAAGAAATTGTTCACGACTTTTGTTAGACCAAGTCTGTAATATGCATTGGCTGTATGGTGCCCATATTTTTAGAAGCACATCAACAAACTGGAAAAGGTGCAAAGACATGCCACTAAGTGGCTCCCAGAACTGGAAAACAAGAG